CGGCGGGTTTTGTCAGTAGAGAGGATGTTCAAGATGCACTAGTGAAATCTGAATCCCTTGTCACTGCTGGTGATACCTACATGTCTAAAGTGCACAAACTTTTAGATGGAGGAGAGAATATGCCACTTTCCATCCAAGTAGTTGGCAAACCATATCATGAAGAGACTGTTCTTCGAGTAATGCGTGAGATAGAGGGGATTTTTTCTCCCTAGGAACTAACACAAATTAAACAATATTTTCCTTTTCGTTTGTGTATGTGAAGTTTGTTTTGATACTGCAGATTATGTTTTTACAGAGTTAAGCTTGTATTCTACATTGGATTAAATGTGATAAAATGGTGGTATAATATTATGACGAGGAATAAATTCTGTGATGAAATTTTGAGCCAGAAGAAAAGGCAGAACGAGGAATGGTTCACTGACTATACCTGGAACCTGATAGAGGAGAGGTGACTGGTGCACCACAGAAGGAACCAATGCAAACTTCACGGGCGATTTGTCTCATGTCGCACAAACTCGAGGATATACAGGCGAAAACCAACAAGCTGTCAGAAGTAGCAGCGAAGGACTTCAAACGATCATAGAAAAGACACAGACGTTGAAGTTAATCAACCAACATCAACAAAAAGCCACATTCACGATCAGTGGGAGAAATCTAAGACAAGTCATCTCTGACACTTATCTGGGAAGCATTGCATCAACTATAGGCAGCACAGATAGAATCGGAAAAGTAAGACACGAGTTGATTACTCCGAAATCTTCATGAAGATCCAGACCAGTCAACACAAGGACAAGGACTCGGAGTTTCGACACTAACGTCAATTCGGTGCTTCTCTATGGTTCAGGGGCTTGGCTGGAGCGTCCCTAAAAGCACTTCCAGTATAGTTCCGTCCACAGATGCATTTACTGGATACTCAAGACCTGATGGTTGTTAGGTAAAATTAGGAGACAAAGAACTCATTTAATTCGCCAAGAGGCTGTTACCCAACACACAATTAGATTAGAAATTTAGTGAAAAAAGAAATAGTTACTCTTCATTTAGATTTCCATTTCTGGCTGAACTCTAATATATGTAGCACTTTTATTCAATACAGAAATTTTTACCAATCAAATGGCGTTTTTTAACAGTAATCCATGTGAAGAAGCAAAAGCTGTGCGTTCAGAAGAAATTCGTGCAGCCACTCTCCATACCTCGGTCTGACAATTTCGCCTCCTCCTAAGCTTTTTACAAGTTATCGTAGACCAAATAATTTCATTTTTCTGACACTTTGATCTATAAATGCTTATCACATAACTAACCTGAGCACTTTTCTCTAACTTAATTAACCTGTATTTATTTCTAGATTTATACATTATGCAGTCCACCCGTTTAAACCAGTTCAACCCTATAGCTTTTTACGCTGATTATCACCCTTCTAACATACTGATATTGACTAATGACTGATAACAAACTTAAGGCTACAAGATTGATGGAATCATATTGTGTAATAAATGAAGTTTGTTTGACTTTCGGTGTGACCATCTCATGAAACCAACATCGCCTCGCATATTTTCCTGTGCTTGTACACCACCTCCAATCACCAAATCATTAAGAGCGCAGAAGTCTTCAAATAGTTCTCCGTTCTTATTTATTCAATCAACTATCTTCCTGTGTTATGTACTCCCAGTCCGAAATTCGTACCATCTGGCTGGGATGTTGTCTGTTACTGTTCGCAGTTGTTTACAGAAGTCCTCCTTCTTCTTTCAATCTGTTATTTTCAGGAGTGCAGTATTGGATAAATTTAACTTCCCTTCCTTTGGAGTTGAACGTTTCTATCGTGATCCTGCAGGAGGAGAATGGTTCCCACTGCATGACAGCCTACGGTTCTGTTGGTGACATCATGGTGACCACTCCATCAGCGTGGATGTCCTCTGGGTGACTGGAGTAGATTGTTGACTGCAGTTAAGAATTTGTGGTCTTAACTTCTATTCTACTAGCTCTCACAGACTCCTAACACTACTATACCATATCTTCCTATTTCTTCTGCAATCTGAGCAGCCAACCCCAAACATGGTGTGGGTATTTCATGTTCCTACGCTTACTTTGCTTTCACTGTAAGAAGACACATCGGTTGGCTGACTTACTGAAGGCTTATGCCAGCCCAGGTCATTTGTTCTCTCTGATTCTGGAGAAGAATAAATTTATCTTTTTTCTGTCCTATTAAGTTCCTGTAGCGATTAGATCGATTTTCCGGGAAGGTGTCTATAGTCCCACACCACCCTTCTCTCTTTTTCCAGACTTCGGACTGGGTAGTAGAATAGAGAACTAGCATACTAGGTGAGGTTGTGATGATTGAAAGTTTAGGTGTACGAGGTTTTTCGAATATAGGTCCCATTGAATTCACCGAAAAATCTAAAACATGTTAAACGTGGAGACTTACATGAAGTAACATGCAGGCAGTTGAGAATACGAAAACATATTTACCAAGGCTATATCTATAAGTCTTTAAAGCTCTACAGGCAACGGAGTCGGAATAAACACTAAAGACATTTTTCGCAATGGATTCGAATCAGTTTTTTAAAACATAATAAATTGATCGATAAAAAGTCGCGTTATTGATCAGACATCAATCTTTTCAGATGGTAACGTTTTGAATTCATAAATATGGAAAGCAAACGTGACATAGTTGAAGATTATGAACTATTTGACTGGTTTGTGAAAACTAAAAAATCGAGTTGCTTCTTACATTTTTAATATTGAAGAATGTTAAAGGCCTTAAAAGAAACTCTCATTAGTACGTAAACAATCATTATAAATTCATTCCTAACAAATGAACATCAACTATGTCTGTCGTTTGAAATGGACAATCGACGAAATGACTGGTTTTAAATCCATTCAATCACGAAATAAAATTGAAGTGTTGAAATCTAACTACCACTTTTCACGCAATCGCTCCTGACCCCTACTCACTTGTTAGTTTTGAAAAATAAGTTTAGAGTTCTTAACGTTACGAAATTCTACCCAGCCAGCCTTCATCATATAAGACAAACTCAGAAGATTACCAGAAGTTAGAACAGGGAAGTTTGCATAGCTATCGAATTCGAGGCAGGTAGGAAGCATATCAATTATTTTACGAGTTGATCACGGACTGATATCAGTTAGAGAACCATTGAAAACCAGGGAGTACTGGACAGCTGCTGTTTCATCCTAGTTTGGGAATCATCGGCAGTACGCATCCACTGGGATTCGAACCCAGGACCTTCCGGTTACAAGGCAAGCTCGTATACCATTCAGCCACTGAGACCCGATTCAATGGCTCATGAATTCTAACTTCTACCAATTATTCCCAAATAAGCAAGAAAAAGTGCAACCATAAGATCGCTGCGAAATACTTCAGCAGAAATACAACAGAACAGCTAATATATTGATGTAAGTGTATAACTTGGGCACTGCGGTAGAATGTAACTCCACATTCGATAAGTTTCATTGATAGGTCAAACTAGTAGGTCAGGGGTAGTCAGATTGTCAGAACATAAGAATTTAGCTAAGGTAAGAATGGTTGACCCAAAGAAGATAAGTAATTTAGAAAAAATCTCAGCAATTGCAATGCATGCATTAACACACAACCACACAATAGGGTGGGAGAGGGTTAAATTTCTTAAAAGTAATCTAGGTAGGTGGAGAGAGAGGTTGATTACTGAATCTTTGTTCATCGAATCTACACCCAACACATGCGATAGGAATGAATCATCACTCATACCCGAAATATGGAAAATAAAACTACCAATCAAATCAAGTGAAAAACAATGGAACTATATAAATGAATTTAGGAAGTCGTGTGATTACCTTGATATGATTATGAGCAATAAATTGTGCTCGAAACGTCATCAGTAAATATTACTGTATAACACTGTGAGACTATATCAAAATAAAATTTACCCATAATGGAATTCGATAAGTTTATTGTAATAATCACACAGTGATGCAACAGTAACAACTGGATGACATTTCGAGCATAAATTATTGCCACTCATAATCATATTAGTTTGGTCACACGTTTTCACAATTTGTCTTATATATTTTTTCTCTCTTTCTGTCTCTCCAACTTCCCTCTGTTGCCACTTTCCATATCTCCCGTGTAGGCGTTGCGTCATTCCGATTGCACGTGTGCAGTGTTGAATCGATAAACAAAGCTTCCTTGATTAACCCCTCCCTCAATCCACCTATGTTATTTTTATAACTCTCTCCCTGTCCCAACCTATTTCGTGATAACATGCAAGTGAATGCACTGCGATGGCTGAGTATTCTTTTAAGTTATTTAACTTAGCAGGGTCAATTATTCTACGTCTAGCTAAATTTTCATTTTCCAATAATCTAGTTGACCCTGATCTACAACAACAAAGGGAAGTTGGAGAGACAGAAAGAGAGAAAAAATATATAAGACAAATTGTGAAAACGTGTGACCAAACTAATATGATTATGAGTGGCAATAATTTATGCTCGAAACGTCATCCAGTTATCAATACTGCATCACTGTGTGATTGATTAAATAAACTAATCTAATAAGGATATCTAGTACACACACATACACATTGGATAAATGCTTTGTCCAACTTAGGTGCTTTTCATCGTTACTCAATCACAACGCCATTCACTATGGAGGGTAAGACGGTCACATTTTAGTGTCTCCAAGGCGACCCAGCTAGTAGGTCATATCGAGGTCCAGTATGACGGTGGAAAGATCTAAGACGATCTCTGCTAACTATGTTCTGATAAGTTATGTTCATTTATTTAAACGTACTACTCCGGGGAACTTTATTCTGCAGCCAGATCTACAGGATTTCTTTACAACTACTAGGTATTACTGTCTCAAAATGTCTATCCACACTACTCACTTTTCAGCCTGCAAGGTATTTCTAATCATTTGCAGTTTGTTGAAAAATTTCTATACTCGCTATATATATGTATGACAATTCAACATAAATCAATAACACAAAGAATGCTAATTGATTATTATTACCATTATTATTAACATGATGTTCTCAAAAGCACAAAATAAGGTTAAAAGTTTACTCAATAAACTGCTCCCAGCAGCACAAGAAAAAATTGAAATTGTAACAGGGATCACTCAAATTAAAAATAGTTGAATATTCTGCTTAAAAAATATGTAAATAAATCCAAGTCATGATATTATACCACCATTTTATCACATTTAATCCAATGTAGAATACAAGCTTAACTCTGTAAAAACATAATCTGCAGTATCAAAACAAACTTCACATACACAAACGAAAAGGAAAATATTGTTTAATTTGTGTTAGTTCCTAGGGAGAAAAAATCCCTTCTATCTCACGCATTACTCGAAGAACAGTCTCTTCATGATATGGTTTGCCAACTACTTGGATGGAAAGTGGCATATTCTCTCCTCCATCTAAAAGTTTGTGCACTTTAGACATGTAGGTATCACCAGCAGTGACAAGGGATTCAGATTTCACTAGTGCATCTCGAACATCCTGTCTACTGACAAAACCCGCCGGAACTGCTCCAGCAGGATAATCCAAAATATTATACAAAAATGTATACACAATTGATGGTGAAATGTACAAAGGTGAAGCATCGTCGGGAGGGGCAGGGTATGAAGACACTGGGCAAATCAGTGCATCCAGTGGGCCTGCTTCACTCCAAGCTTTGGCGAATTCACGTCGATAGCTATTGATTTCATTAATTAAGTCAAGTGCTGCCTGACCATCTTTCAGTTTCCGAAGTGCACTTGTTATACCGACTGGTCTTCCAACAAACAATCGGGATAGGAACCCCATGATAGGTTTTAGAAAGTCTGGAAATCCGAGGATAAGATTTAGAAGTTTAAGCTGTGGACTCATAGGTTCGCCGTGTAACTGCTTTCGTAGTTCACAACCTCCATCTGCAAACAAAGCACGCAGACCAAGAACGTAAGCCTCATAAGGATGAGGGACGGTGAACTTTACAACTTTGTGTCCAGAACTCTCTAACGCCTTAACTGCCTTCTCCACAACTTGTCTATTCACATCCACCACCTGAATGAGATTCGGATCATCAAGGTTGCAATAATAACCAATTACTAGCTGGCGCTTCCCCTTCCCTTCATATAAATCCTCATTGAAACGCAACGGTATAACATAAGGGTCCAGATCAAACATCGTAGGGCACAACAATGCACGCATTACACGAGCCAAGTCTTCCACCTTCCTACCCATGGGTCCTGGGCAAGCGCCTATGTGAAGCACGGATTGCTTCGTGGCTGATGGTATGCCCGATATGCTCAGCCTTCCAAACGTTGGTTTTAAACCAGCTAAACCGCAAAATGCGCACGGTATACGAATGCTACCAGCAATATCACCACCGATACCAACTGGAGAACCATTCAGCGCCAATAGTACAGCTTCCCCCGTTGAACTCCCACCAGGCATTCTCAACGAATTCATTGGGTGTTTTGCCTCACGATAAACACAGTGAAAGCTATCCAATGTGCGACATAACTGACTGGTCACAGTAGTTACGAAGGGGATTGAACCGACACTCTTGAGTACTTTCACGAGAACACAGTCATCGCTCATAGGTTTATTACAGAGTTTGATGACACCCACAGTACTATCATAACCACCCAATGTAAAACTCTCTTTTATGCTAATTGGAATCCCATACAGCTGTGATTCTTTATCGATGTCCGATGACGAGATCATGTTAACAGCATTCTCTTCTGCCTCCAAAATGAATTCACAAATACCTGAATTTCCGTTATCGTACAACTCCAACGCTTTGAGCTGAAAAGCATGTAGTACATCAGCGGGTTCCAATCTCCCCAACTTGATCTGCTCAGATAAATATGACAAGCTTTCGTTACAAATGGTGCTTGAGACTGACGTTGGCAAATTCGACAAACTTTGTCTAATTTTTTTGACATTTTGTTCGACTTGCCTTCGCTTAACTGTTAACCGTTTCTGATTGTGGTATGTTCGTAGTTTGACAAGTAAATTCCAAGATATCAAGCCCAAACTTATGGCCAGAATTACATTCCTGATTGGATGTTTTGTGAGTAAATCTGTTAACTCTTTCAACGGTTTTGCATCATATCTTCCAATAGAATTCATTACCTAGAAGAAAATTAACATATAAGGGATATTGCAGAATATATGTAAATTACCCATGTTGTCATGTTTAGTACGTTGCTGTACAGTTAATGTTTAAATGGTTTCCGAAGGAATCGGTTTCCTAGGTTTTGCCTTCACGTGCACTGAGGTGATCATTATTCGAAACTAACTTTAGAAATTCGTGAAATGCAGCTCTTAAACAAAATGCGTACGAACTACAGAGCTTTGAGTTTTCAAAGATGGCGAAACTGTTGGTTCTTTAGTGGATACACTCCCTACAGACCACATATGAAAACAATGACGATATACTGCGAAATCAAATGGAGCAGATTTTGATATCTGTTGTGGAAATAATAGCTATTAGCCATGTCTATTTATTCTGCAGGAAATAAGATCGAAGATTTCTGCTGAAGTTAGTGGCCTATTTAACTATCATGTCACTTTATGTTTAATTAAGCTGGCTATAATAAGCCCAGCAAGATGGAAACTTCTAAAATTAACAGCCATTACTGACTCCAACGTTGAAAAACTTGTCAGATATGCGTGAGATATATATGTACTAAAACAGGAGACAATTCACAGAGAGGAAGATATCCTGAAATTGCATGACTTCGATGTAGACAGATAATTTGGGGCTGTGCTTCGGGTGCACTGCAGACACTTTAGAGAGGATTGCAGACAACTGTCCCACATTCTGCAATGCGTCCGTAGATCTTGTCCAGAGATGTCTGAAGTCGACCCGAAGAAAATGCTAGCTGTATGTATTTATGTTACCATTCATAATTACTAACGAATTTACCACTGGGTGAATTCGTTTTATCTGCTAATAACTAAATGTCAGGCTAAAATACAGAAACCAAAGCTCACAACCAGTTATAGAGAATGACTCTAAGCCATAGCAACCCAAAACGAAACTACGTCATGAACAGATTGATGACATTGACAAGTTTATGTACACAAATCAGTTTAACCTGACTATGAAGACTCCTGTGAGTAATTGGGATGTTTTATTGGCAACAGTAGGGGATAAACACCAGAATCAAATGACCTTGGATCTGCCAATTATATTATTCTAGGTGAAAAGTGGCACCTATAAGACGTGTATGTAATAAAACTGAATTATACAGAGTACATAACTCTAATAAGCTGTAATAACTGGTCCTACTTTCTCATAGGAGTGTCTACAAACATACTAAACCGATGTTGATAAACAAAACTAAGTGGTTGTATATCATAACATATCGGGAACCATCTACTACTTTAATACGTTTTTAGATGGACCCAGAATCCTTCAATAGAATTTGTATGGGTTCTACTCATAGGATCTACTAAATCAGAAGTTTGATTGACTAAATGATGAATGTAGTCGAACGATGATAGTTGTGAATAAGCTTACCACGAGAGTCTATGAATTGTAGTTCCTAGGAGATCTAGTGGTTGTATTGTTGGTACTAAGACATCTGGGTGATATTTGCAACGAAGATTGTGAGCAACATCTATGTGTGATACCACGCTATCTTATTGGATGATTCAAGACCACTTGACTTTGCTGTCTATTCTTTACTGTTGCCGCTTTTTTGGAACATAAACAAGAATATCGTCCCATGTAACCATTTTTAACATTGCATTACTTGTATATAGACGTTTTTTCTTTCAAGTGGCGCAGTTCTAACCCCTGATAATCTGTTTGGTAGTTTTGTTTTGAAGTGCTGTAGTTTAGAATCACTCTATGCTTCAACAAACATAAAGAGTAAAACTTATGAAGAAGTTCCTGCACTACCTCTGGATGTAACGTAGCGTCAATTTTAAGTTGTGCGCTTTTACTGATATTGTACACCATAGGATTTTCTTATTTTATTTTTTATTTTAGCCTTATTCCACACCGCATTTTCGGTAAAAGTATGAAATTCTCAGCATGTGATATCGGTAGATCAATTTTGCAGGCTGATCATTGATATCAGGTGGGCGTTGGCAGAGAATCGAACCCCACACCATGTGCATAGTCACCCGAGAGTCCTAACCACTGTTACACGATAAAATTATTTTCTTAACCATTTTAAAATTTCGAACTGGTGCTCATCACGATGAAAACGCACGAGTGTCCCTGAGTCTGTCAATCAAGAAATAAATTGGTTTCTCCTTAAAAATGGCGTTCATTTACAAAATAAATATAGCGCATAATTATAAAACACATCAAACGGAGCGCAGAAGTCTTCAAATAGTTCTCCGTTCTTATTTATTCAATCAACTATCTTCCTGTGTTATGTACTCCCAGTCCGAAATTCGTACCATCTGGCTGGGATGTTGTCTGTTACTGTTCGCAGTTGTTTACAGAAGTCCTCCTTCTTCTTTCAATCTGTTATTTTCAGGAGTGCAGTATTGGATAAATTTAACTTCCCTTCCTTTGGAGTTGAACGTTTCTATCGTGATCCTGCAGGAGGAGAATGGTTCCCACTGCATGACAGCCTACGGTTCTGTTGGTGACATCATGGTGACCACTCCATCAGCGTGGATGTCCTCTGGGTGACTGGAGTAGATTGTTGACTCTGCAGTTAAGAATTTGTGGTCTTAACTTCTATTCTACTAGCTCTCACAGACTCCTAACACTACTATACCATATCTTCCTATTTCTTCTGCAATCTGAGCAGCCAACCCCAAACATGGTGTGGGTATTTCATGTTCCTACGCTTACTTTGCTTTCACTGTAAGAAGACACATCGGTTGGCTGACTTACTGAAGGCTTATGCCAGCCCAGGTCGTTTGTTCTCTCTGATTCTGGAGAAGAATAAATTTATCTTTTTTCTGTCCTATTAAGTTCCTGTAGCGATTAGATCGATTTTCCGGGAAGGTGTCTATAGTCCCACACCACCCTTCTCTCTTTTTCCAGACTTTGGACTGGGTAGTAGAATAGAGAACTAGCATACTAGGTGAGGTTGTGATGATTGAAAGTTTAGGTGTACGAGGTTTTTCGAATATAGGTCCCATTGAATTCACCGAAAAATCTAAAACATGTTAAACGTGGAGACTTACATGAAGTAACATGCAGGCAGTTGAGAATACGAAAACATATTTACCAAGGCTATATCTATAAGTCTTTAAAGCTCTACAGGCAACGGAGTCGGAATAAACACTAAAGACATTTTTCGCAATGGATTCGAATCAGTTTTTTAAAACATAACAAATTGATCGATAAAAAGTCGCGTTATGATCAGACATCAATCTTTTCAGATGGTAACGTTTTGAATTCATAAATATGGAAAGCAAACGTGACATAGTTGAAGATTATGAACTATTTGACTGGTTTGTGAAAACTAAAAAATCGAGTTGCTTCTTACATTTTTAATATTGAAGAATGTTAAAGGCCTTAAAAGAAACTCTCATTAGTACGTAAACAATCATTATAAATTCATTCCTAACAAATGAACATCAACTATGTCTGTCGTTTGAAATGGACAATCGACGAAATGACTGGTTTTAAATCCATTCAATCACGAAATAAAATTGAAGTGTTGAAATCTAACTACCACTTTTCACGCAATCGCTCCTGACCCCTACTCACTTGTTAGTTTTGAAAAATAAGTTTAGAGTTCTTAACGTTACGAAATTCTACCCAGCCAGCCTTCATCATATAAGACAAACTCAGAAGATTACCAGAAGTTAGAACAGGGAAGTTTGCATAGCTATCGAATTCGAGGCAGGTAGGAAGCATATCAATTATTTTACGAGTTGATCACGGACTGATATCAGTTAGAGAACCATTGAAAACCAGGGAGTACTGGACAGCTGCTGTTTCATCCTAGTTTGGGAATCATCGGCAGTACGCATCCACTGGGATTCGAACCCAGGACCTTCCGGTTACAAGGCAAGCTCGTATACCATTCAGCCACTGAGACCCGATTCAATGGCTCATGAATTCTAACTTCTACCAATTATTCCCAAATAAGCAAGAAAAAGTGCAACCATAAGATCGCTGCGAAATACTTCAGCAGAAATACAACAGAACAGCTAATATATTGATGTAAGTGTATAACTTGGGCACTGCGGTAGAATGTAACTCCACATTCGATAAGTTTCATTGATAGGTCAAACTAGTAGGTCAGGGGTAGTCAGATTGTCAGAACATAAGAATTTAGCTAAGGTAAGAATGGTTGACCCAAAGAAGATAAGTAATTTAGAAAAAATCTCAGCAATTGCAATGCATGCATTAACACACAACCACACAATAGGGTGGGAGAGGGTTAAATTTCTTAAAAGTAATCTAGGTAGGTGGAGAGAGAGGTTGATTACTGAATCTTTGTTCATCGAATCTACACCCAACACATGCGATAGGAATGAATCATCACTCATACCCGAAATATGGAAAATAAAACTACCAATCAAATCAAGTGAAAAACAATGGAACTATATAAATGAATTTAGGAAGTCGTGTGATTACCTTGATATGATTATGAGCAATAAATTGTGCTCGAAACGTCATCAGTAAATATTACTGTATAACACTGTGAGACTATATCAAAATAAAATTTACCCATAATGGAATTCGATAAGTTTATTGTAATAATCACACAGTGATGCAACAGTAACAACTGGATGACATTTCGAGCATAAATTATTGCCACTCATAATCATATTAGTTTGGTCACACGTTTTCACAATTTGTCTTATATATTTTTTCTCTCTTTCTGTCTCTCCAACTTCCCTCTGTTGCCACTTTCCATATCTCCCGTGTAGGCGTTGCGTCATTCCGATTGCACGTGTGCAGTGTTGAATCGATAAACAAAGCTTCCTTGATTAACCCCTCCCTCAATCCACCTATGTTATTTTTATAACTCTCTCCCTGTCCCAACCTATTTCGTGATAACATGCAAGTGAATGCACTGCGATGGCTGAGTATTCTTTTAAGTTATTTAACTTAGCAGGGTCAATTATTCTACGTCTAGCTAAATTTTCATTTTCCAATAATCTAGTTGACCCTGATCTACAACAACAAAGGGAAGTTGGAGAGACAGAAAGAGAGAAAAAATATATAAGACAAATTGTGAAAACGTGTGACCAAACTAATATGATTATGAGTGGCAATAATTTATGCTCGAAACGTCATCCAGTTATCAATACTGCATCACTGTGTGATTGATTAAATAAACTAATCTAATAAGGATAGCTAGTACACACACATACACATTGGATAAATGCTTTGTCCAACTTAGGTGCTTTTCATCGTTACTCAATCACAACGCCATTCACTATGGAGGGTAAGACGGTCACATTTTAGTGTCTGCAAGGCGACCCAGCTAGTAGGTCATATCGAGGTCCAGTATGACGGTGGAAAGATCTAAGACGATCTCTGCTAACTATGTTCTGATAAGTTATGTTCATTTATTTAAACGTACTACTCCGGGGAACTTTATTCTGCAGCCAGATCTACAGGATTTCTTTACAACTACTAGGTATTACTGTCTCAAAATGTCTATCCACACTACTCACTTTTCAGCCTGCAAGGTATTTCTAATCATTTGCAGTTTGTTGAAAAATTTCTATACTCGCTATATATATGTATGACAATTCAACATAAATCAATAACACAAAGAATGCTAATTGATTATTATTACCATTATTATTAACATGATGTTCTCAAAAGCACAAAATAAGGTTAAAAGTTTACTCAATAAACTGCTCCCAGCAGCACAAGAAAAAATTGAAATTGTAACAGGGATCACTCAAATTAAAAATAGTTGAATATTCTGCTTAAAAAATATGTAAATAAATCCAAGTCATGATATTATACCACCATTTTATCACATTTAATCCAATGTAGAATACAAGCTTAACTCTGTAAAAACATAATCTGCAGTATCAAAACAAACTTCACATACACAAACGAAAAGGAAAATATTGTTTAATTTGTGTTAGTTCCTAGGGAGAAAAAATCCCTTCTATCTCACGCATTACTCGAAGAACAGTCTCTTCATGATATGGTTTGCCAACTACTTGGATGGAAAGTGGCATATTCTCTCCTCCATCTAAAAGTTTGTGCACTTTAGACATGTAGGTATCACCAGCAGTGACAAGGGATTCAGATTTCACTAGTGCATCTCGAACATCCTGTCTACTGACAAAACCCGCCGGAACTGCTCCAGCAGGATAATCCAAAATATTATACAAAAATGTATACACAATTGATGGTGAAATGTACAAAGGTGAAGCATCGTCGGGAGGGGCAGGGTATGAAGACACTGGGCAAATCAGTGCATCCAGTGGGCCTGCTTCACTCCAAGCTTTGGCGAATTCACGTCGATAGCTATTGATTTCATTAATTAAGTCAAGTGCTGCCTGACCATCTTTCAGTTTCCGAAGTGCATTTGTTATACCGACTGGTCTTCCAACAAACAATCGGGATAGGAACCCCATGATAGGTTTTAGAAAGTCTGGAAATCCGAGGATAAGATTTAGAAGTTTAAGCTGTGGACTCATAGGTTCGCCGTGTAACTGCTTTCGTAGTTCACAACCTCCATCTGCAAACAAAGCACGCAGACCAAGAACGTAAGCCTCATAAGGATGAGGGACGGTGAACTTTACAACTTTGTGTCCAGAACTCTCTAACGCCTTAACTGCCTTCTCCACAACTTGTCTATTCACATCCACCACCTGAATGAGATTCGGATCATCAAGGTTGCAATAATAACCAATTACTAGCTGGCGCTTCCCCTTCCCTTCATATAAATCCTCATTGAAACGCAACGGTATAACATAAGGGTCCAGATCAAACATCGTAGGGCACAACAATGCACGCATTACACGAGCCAAGTCTTCCACCTTCCTACCCATGGGTCCTGGGCAAGCGCCTATGTGAAGCACGGATTGCTTCGTGGCTGATGGTATGCCCGATATGCTCAGCCTTCCAAACGTTGGTTTTAAACCAGCTAAACCGCAAAATGCGCACGGTATACGAATGCTACCAGCAATATCACCACCGATACCAACTGGAGAACCATTCAGCGCCAATAGTACAGCTTCCCCCGTTGAACTCCCACCAGGCATTCTCAACGAATTCATTGGGTGTTTTGCCTCACGATAAACACAGTGAAAGCTATCCAATGTGCGACATAACTGACTGGTCACAGTAGTTACGAAGGGGATTGAACCGACACTCTTGAGTACTTTCACGAGAACACAGTCATCGCTCATAGGTTTATTACAGAGTTTGATGACACCCACAGTACTATCATAACCACCCAATGTAAAACTCTCTTTTATGCTAATTGGAATCCCATACAGCTGTGATTCTTTATCGATGTCCGATGACGAGATCATGTTAACAGCATTCTCTTCTGCCTCCAAAATGAATTCACAAATACCTGAATTTCCGTTATCGTACAACTCCAACGCTTTGAGCTGAAAAGCATGTAGTACATCAGCGGGTTCCAATCTCCCCAACTTGATCTGCTCAGATAAATATGACAAGCTTTCGTTACAAATGGTGCTTGAGACTGACGTTGGCAAATTCGACAAACTTTGTCTAATTTTTTTGACATTTTGTTCGACTTGCCTTCGCTTAACTGTTAACCGTTTCTGATTGTGGTATGTTCGTAGTTTGACAAGTAAATTCCAAGATATCAAGCCCAAACTTATGGCCAGAATTACATTCCTGATTGGATGTTTTGTGAGTAAATCTGTTAACTCTTTCAACGGTTTTGCATCATATCTTCCAATAGAATTCATTACCTAGAAGAAAATTAACATATAAGGGATATTGCAGAATATATGTAAATTACCCATGTTGTCATGTTTAGTACGTTGCTGTACAGTTAATGTTTAAATGGTTTCCGAAGGAATCGGTTTCCTAGGTTTTGCCTTCACGTGCACTGAGGTGATCATTATTCGAAACTAACTTTAGAAATTCGTGAAATGCAGCTCTTAAACAAAATGCGTACGAACTACAGAGCTTTGAGTTTTCAAAGATGGCGAAACTGTTGGTTCTTTAGTGGATACACTCCCTACAGACCACATATGAAAACAATGACGATATACTGCGAAATCAAATGGAGCAGATTTTGATATCTGTTGTGGAAATAATAGCTATTAGCCATGTCTATTTATTCTGCAGGAAATAAGATCGAAGATTTCTGCTGAAGTTAGTGGCCTATTTAACTATCATGTCACTTTATGTTTAATTAAGCTGGCTATAATAAGCCCAGCAAGATGGAAACTTCTAAAATTAACAGCCATTACTGACTCCAACGTTGAAAAACTTGTCAGATATGCGTGAGATCTATATGTACTAAAACAGGAGACAATTCACAGAGAGGAAGATATCCTGAAATTGCATGACTTCGATGTAGACAGATAATTTGGGGCTGTGCTTCGGGTGCACTGCAGACACTTTAGAGAGGATTGCAGACAACTGTCCCACATTCTGCAATGCGTCCGTAGATCTTGTCCAGAGATGTCTGAAGTCGACCCGAAGAAAATGCTAGCTGTATGTATTTATGTTACCATTCATAATTACTAACGAATTTACCACTGGGTGAATTCGTTTTATCTGCTAATAACTAAATGTCAGGCTAAAATACAGAAACCAAAGCTCACAACCAGTTATAGAGAATGACTCTAAGCCATAGCAACCCAAAACGAAACTACGTCATGAACAGATTGATGACATTGACAAGTTTATGTACACAAATCAGTTTAACCTGACTATGAAGACTCCTGTGAGTAATTGGGATGTTTTATTGGCAACAGTAGGGGATAAACACCAGAATCAAATGACCTTGGATCTGCCAATTATATTATTCTAGGTGAAAAGTGGCACCTATAAGACGTGTATGTAATAAAACTGAATTATACAGAGTACATAACTCTAATAAGCTGTAATAACTGGTCCTACTTTCTCATAGGAGTGTCTACAAACATACTAAACCGATGTTGATAAACAAAACTAAGTGGTTGTATATCATAACATATCGGGAACCATTTACTACTTTAATACGTTTTTAGATGGACCCAGAATCCTTCAATAGAATTTGTATGGGTTCTACTCATAGGATCTACTAAATCAGAAGTTTGATTGACTAAATGATGAATGTAGTCGAACGATGATAGTTGTGAATAAGCTTACCACGAGAGTCTATGAATTGTAGTTCCTAGGAGATCTAGTGGTTGTATTGTTGGTACTAAGACATCTGGGTGATACTTGCAACGAAGATTGTGAGCAACATCTATGTGTGATACCACGCTATCTTATTGGATGATTCAAGACCACTTGACTTTGCTGTCTATTCTTTACTGTTGCCGCTTTTTTGGAACATAAACAAGAATATCGTCCCATGTAACCATTTTTAACATTGCATTACTTGTATATAGACGTTTTTTCTTTCAAGTGGCGCAGTTCTAACCCCTGATAATCTGTTTGGTAGTTTTGTTTTGAAGTGCTGTAGTTTAGAATCACTCTATGCTTCAACAAACATAAAGAGTAAAACTTATGAAGAAGTTCCTGCACTACCTCTGGATGTAACGTAGCGTCAATTTTAAGTTGTGCGCTTTTACTGATATTGTACACCATAGGATTTTCTTATTTTATTTTTTATTTTAGCCTTATTCCACACCGCATTTTCGGTAAAAGTATGAAATTCTCAGCATGTGATATCGGTAGATCAATTTTGCAGGCTGATCATTGATATCAGGTGGGCGTTGGCAGAGAATCGAACCCCACACCATGTGCATAGTCACCCGAGAGTCCTAACCACTGTTACACGATAAAATTATTTTCTTAACCATTTTAAAATTTCGAACTGGTGCTCATCACGATGAAAACGCACGAGTGTCCCTGAGTCTGTCAATCAAGAAATAAATTGGTTTCTCCTTAAAAATGGCGTTCATTTACAAAATAAATATAGCGCATAATTATAAAACACATCAAACGGAATATTCCTCTCTGACATGACTTAAAAGTAGCATCCAATTTTAATAAGGAGTATCATTTTTTAAGCTGTAGCAGTTTCTGTGCATTAATTCACTGAGGTGATTGAAGACAATCTTGTTTGTAACCCGTTTCTCACACTTCCCCGAAAGCCCTCGACTGAATTACTATGCTTTCCAGTGAGGGGATCGACAACTCCCAACCATAACATCCTGTTAGCACATCGTCCATACAGTAGTTCAAGACGTGAACGGGGTGAAATCCACGCCTAAATTCGTGAACGGCATTCACATAGGCACCATAATATTGATAATCCCAGTTATCTAACGACTAGTATACTTTAAAGGCCATTGGGACGTTCGCATTTCTGAGCCGATAAAATTCAACATGTCCTGCAGACCTTACTTCTGGCTGACCTGCTTCATCAGTGTAGCCTGTTGTCTTTCATCAAGCCAGTGGTGAAAATACTTATTAATAAGTGATCACAGTAAATTTTGGAAATAAACATCTAAAGCGATTCGGGATATCGTTAACATATTTTTACGGAAAGAAACAGTTCATATAATTTTACCAGATATAGAAGTGAGGCGGCCTAAAGTGACAGAAACGACCTCATTGTATTGTTTTTTGAAGGCCATGGATGTTAACAGCTTCACAATTGTATCCTAATCAGTTATATATAATCTATGCAGCTATAAAGTCATAAGTTAGCCAAACTATAACGATGGTTTATCGTTCGATTTTTGAAATTTATTTCAGAACCGGAAAGCTAGGACAGTTATTCCGGCTTCGATAGTGAATGAATAGTTGAAAGTGAAACGACGTTGAGGCGAATTCGGGTGGAAGCTCGAGAGTGTGTCTTCAGTTTAACCAGTCAACTGACACAACAAAAACCCAATGTTGAATAGCGCCTGCTGTCGAGTAATAATATTGGGGAATTATTCAACACCACATGTAATCTGAAGGACTATTTTATTCTTTTTGTTGATTTTCGGATTGTTTTGTTCCGTACAAATCTCTGGAATTCGGAGATTCTCAGTCGGCTGAAAAATACTTCTTTGATGTTGTACAGTCTATGAAGTAGACAGCTTTTAATTACCCATGCTGTTAGAAATAAGCCCTGACTGAAAACAAATGAGAGCCATTTATGAATTAGTAAATATGCTTAGTGACCGCAATTCTCAACAAGATTTGCGATTATAATTCCCTCCTATCCCAACCCAGTAAAAAGTCAAAAAGTTTGTTTTCGAAAATAAAATATGAAAACATCCAATGAATACTGATCTGCTTCTGTGTAGAATTTCTACAAATAGTTGATATCATTTGCTCAGTAGTAAAACACTTGGAGGTGCATGCACTTTTCGTTTTAAAATGTCAGCAGGGTCTCAGAGTGACTGGTTCCAGCATTTTGTTTATTCATGTTTTCGCTCATTCACTATATTCAGTACTGTTGCATTCTATGGAATACTACATCTACTACTTATTTCCTGCGGTCCTTGAAGATTTTATTAGGAGCAGGAGTCCCGTTACTTATTGATAGGGTCGTGCTTTCCTTAATGACTGACAAAATCATGTGGTATGTGCTGTCTAAAGACCCAGTGGTACCACTACAAACCCCAGTCAACATTGCTGACAATTATATTGTTATCTAGAGTTATTTATTCCCGTGTAATGGTAGAATAAATCCCCACTAATGCTACGCCGTCTGCTTGTTGACTGCAGGTGGGGGCGATAATATCGGAAGTGTTACCGTTCGTCATATTGGATTTTATTTATAGCCACTGGAATCACCAGTAGATTTTTACAGTGGCGAACCATGTGTACATTAGCGACCTGTTGTATGAATGATTATGCGTATAATGTTGTATTGCGAGTTTAACTGTTGGTTCAGTAATAAATCATAAAATCAAGCAAGAAGTAAATGAAATTGCCTGCAGAGAGGCTGTGTTGCTTGTGCTGGGTATACTGAGCTCCAGAATTTCATTTCCTTGTCACACGAACTGTTTCTGATTCTTGACGAGTCGGTTTTTAGACAGATCCCTCATGATAACACCAGAACCTGAGTGATTTGGCTGAAACCACTGTCTCAGCTGCACGCACATGGTTCGCGTTTTCTTCCAACATCAACAGACATTAGTTGGTGAAGTTAGTTATCTCACAGCCAATTTTCAATCAGTATTCTGCAATAAATGCAACACACTTTGTGGGCGGTTTCCTCAAGCGGTAAGCGTCATAGTGTGTGGTTCATAATAATATCTGAGGCATCACTCATGCCACTGGTAGTGAATATTCAGCGGATGTTCAACACCTTTTTCATTGGAACCAGTTTTATTTAGCTGAAGGCTGAAATCCTCATATAGGCTTTAACGCTCCCTTGTTGGAAGAAGACCAGAGTTACGCCACTGAAAGCGTTGATAAATTATTATACTGACGCTTACATGTACGCTAATTTGTTTATTCGAGGCGTACACTTATAAACCGAATGACGAAACTGCTACATCATTGCAATTGTAGTATTGATCTACTGTTGGTTGACCGATAACCCTCCAGTTTTCTGTGTCATTTAATATTGGTTGCGCTGAAGTCGATGTCTTTGATAAATAAGCAAATAGTGTTCCGAATTCTGAAGAGTTGTTCACTAGTAGCGACAATGTTTCCTGATAGCTTTGTTGACAAGTAACTATGAATTTTGTATCGTTTCAACAACATAGCAGGGTTGATATCTACGGTGGTGCATAGCGGCACATCACGCAACATCTAGTCATCAGAGAAGCTTAGGTATGTGGCACACTAGGACGACAATTACATTTAAATCTTTGAGGTTTCCAGGCTTGATTCTTCACTAACCTAATCTAGAAATAGTCCATATGAATTTGTCAGAAACACCTGTTCTGTTTAGACATACGCTACACCTACGCGACCGTCTAATTCAGCGGTTCAGTTCACTTCAACTTGATGACAAACTGACATCAACACAGTCCAACGAATAAATGAAGCATATCAAGCAGCGCCTAACTGAACAGGCGTATGGTTTAAGTGAATACTAGGTAATTACTGGAACGCAGCAAATGTGACCGAGAGCTGTCACAGTTCTCTTGTTCCTTTAAACATCAACTATCTACAACACCTTTCCTTGAACTGTTGCAGTAAAGATTGAAACGACGATGAAGCCAACCTCCAGCTAGACTGATCCCATGAATTTATTACGAAAGTTTAGAAGAATGAGTAGACACATAGCAATCACCTAGACTAATTGGCATCAATGAGCATAAGAAAACGAAATCCAAGTTCTCCAGTCGTTGGCTTCCAAAATTATTCCACTTGAGACCAAAAATCCTTGGTGTCGACTTTTTTATGCTTCCCATTGAACAAGGGGAAAATCGTGGCCGTTATTTAATGCGCTGACGCAACTTCGGCGTAAACTTCATAGATCACTCTGGGAGATCCAGGTCATGTACATTATCGGAACGCAGAAATTTAACAGCGTGTAGAATGAATGACTTTCAGACTGTGTCTAACTTAGAAGGTTATTGTAATGCGTAAGCGAAAAAAATGAAGTGGTGCAGAGCAACAGTCTTAGAATATGATATAATTAAGCGAAGTGAAGGGTTGAACTCTGAAAGTTCGCTAAGTAAACCTACACCTAAATTTGCTATGGCATTAAACCAATAACAGCTATATTAAAAATATTACTGCTGATAAAGTTAGAGTATAAGCAATGGTGGAAATAAGTGAACAAAGTTTAAAGGCTACTTGAGTGCCTTCATATAATTATGAGGGTTAAATTTTCGCTTGAAACCTCATTTGTAAATGATGCACCACTGTCTTTCTACAAAACATAACTATTCAATTTGAAGTCCAAACATAAAACACGATGTTTCGGGCTCCGAAACGTCATTCCTAACACCAATGATTCGCGAGGGCTATCTGTTTGCAACAGGCGACACACATTATAATAATAATAGTATATTCTCATTTTTTACACGAGGGACGCCAGTTTACAGGCATCATCAATATGATAAATTACATATACGATTAGTAAGCATATTTAATAATAGTAATTTAATAAAATACATTTTTTCCTACCTGTGTAGGACACACCAATTGTACAGGCATGGATAAGTATTATTTAAATTACATAAATTTGGTTCATGGTAAAATTATAAGGTTGCAGCTATTTTGTCTATGGGAACGATATGATAACTAGCCATTCAATGGAACACATCAAGAAATATAGAAATATTGTCTTCGCATTAACAAAAAAAACCCAAGTATGTTTTGGATGGATTACAAATACTTGGGAAAAAATAAAGCTTGAAGTAATTCCTCCATATAAATTTGGTGTGTACGGCATCGAGTCTTATTCTTGATTTATATCCAAATTTGATAATAATTTAAAATAAGTGATACACTTTTATACTTTTGTCAGCATTTTCTTCGTAACATCACAGGTGAATAGTACTCAAGGTAGGCTAATAATAATGACAGTCTGTATTTTCTTATAAACGGGTGTTTTCAAGAAATGCAAGCTATTTTTGCAGGTGCAATCAGTTATGTTGTAAGTTACAATCGTGATGTATTATAAATCAATACTCTTTTATTGGTATAAAGGTATGTTTCACAACTGTAATCCAGGTTGCGTC